TCTTTGGTCACTACCGTATGCAGTTGCCTTTTCAAACAATAGCCTTTGCCACTTCCGTTTGAAGACCCTGAAATATTCTTATGGGTTTGTGAGCACAGTTTTCAGGCACCTTATTGTTTTGACCTGACAAATCAGAGGAAAAACTAGGGGAGATAGAGTGAAATTGTGATTTTGTTTGTTTGTTTGTTTGTTTTTTTTTTACTGTAATTTATGATGGCAATTAGGTTAGGGCCCAAATCAAAGGAATAATAAAACACACACACACACACACACACACACACACACACACACACACACACACACACACACACACACACACACACACACATATACACACACTACAAGACCCTCATCATGTGAGTGAGTGTACAAGAGTCACATCCTTTTTGAGAGAAAGATATCATAGTTACAAAAAATTCTAACATGATCATCGGTTGCACACGTATCAAATGTGCTAAAGTATTGTGTGCTATTTAATTATTTTCGAAAGGAAGAAGAGAAAATTGCATCGGTTTCCCACATTTTAATCATGTACAACCCATTGTCATGTTCAAAGGACCATTCACTACCACTGACAAGTATACTTTTTTCAATTACGTTTTTTAACGGGGGCAGGTGGGCATAAACTTTGATGCTGTGCCAGTGTAAATTTCAAGCTTGAAGACAGCTTAAAGGACTCACAACCACCAGTAGATGGCAGCGATGCACCCTTGAGATCATCCCAGTTTGCGAGTCCACTTGGAGAAATTGTTGTTTTGTCAAACTTACTCTGGGAAAAAAAAAAAACTGTCTGATGTATTAGTAGATGTAAAAAAATGTGTCAGGATCCAGATCATTTTATTTAGTGCATCTACTTGATGAAATAACGTTGATTAAATTGAAATCACAATTTTTTTTCAGCATATTTTTGTTCTACTGCTGTTCATACAGTATCAAAAAAGGCAGACTTGTACTTTTTTTTTCCTGGTGAAAGCAAAGAGTCCATTTTTCATTTGCTCGATTCAGTGTACAGGCCAATACAATCATTGAACACAACATCCTCTGGATGTTGGAAAAAGTCAGTCAACTGGCAGTGAGTGACTTTGAAGAAGTTCTTTTTAGTGAAACCCCCGTAATCAACGGGGGTTGACTGTAATTACGTGCAATGTATTGTGAAATTACCCCCCTCCCCACCCAAATTCCACTCTCTGAACCCGCCCCCCGAAAGCATTTCACTTCATTCTCATTATTTAATGACCCGACACAGCTGGATTTGGAAGAAGACACCCTTCCCACTAATGAAATTATCCCGCAACGTTCCGATTGAGAAACAGAACACCCATGTAAAGAACAAGACATAATTAGTCGCTGGTGTGGAAACTCTCACTCCTCCAGGCACTTATTGGAAAATAAAAAAACCCTAATAGATAGTCATTGTTCTCTTTGATGCTATCTGCTTGGAATGGGAAAGTTCTTGTGGACAATCCACACCTTTGATGACAGCCGAAATTGCATTTGTTCCCCTTGACGGTAGCGACTTGCTGCTTCATCGTCGAGCCAGTGGGGGGCTTTGGCCTAAATGACACCCCCTCTGGACCCCCTGACCTCTCCAGCCACGTCTCTGTGCCATGTGAGAGCAGTTACTCCACATGTGACGGAATGTAAGACATAAAAGGGATGATTGTGTATTCATCCTTTCACGTCTGTTAGAAATCACCTAGCCGAGGGTTTTACGTCTTGTCTGCCCTTGAGCCGCAACACTAAGAAAGAACGGAACAAAATCCATTGGTTGGTGATGTCACTTATTGTTGTCGACCAAACCCAACACTTGATGGATTTCAGTTTGTCTCAGTGCAGGTAAAAAAATAAAATAAATCTTACGTCAAGATCAGTGATTTAAGACACCGTGCAGGGTAAATTGAAAATGAAAAAGTGGGTGAAATCGTGGAAAAATAAAATCGGTTTTTGGTGCAGCTTATGAAGAAATTTTAGTACCATAGAGAAAAGACAACAAAAATGACATTGTAATATTTTTGGAAAATTACTTTTTTCATAAGAAAAAAAAGATCATTGTCTTGTAGAATGACCCCCTGCCCCCCAAAAATAGGACACTTTTTTTTTTTGCAAAAATGCCATCTTTTTTTCTTTGTCTTTATTCTCCAAGGATTATGCTTTTTTTTTTTTCTTCTTTAACAAAATTCTCATTTTCATTGAAAAATTTTGACATAAGCAAAAACAAATGACTTGATCATAAAAGTTAAAATTTTATTCTGGAGTTTTCTTCTTATATAGGTGCCGGCCACAGCTCACACTCAGAAGCTCACGTGTGAACTCGCCACTCTACCTGGCCCCGCCTCTTAAAGGCACATGCACCGATGTGGACTTTTTTTTTGGCCACGAGATTCGTCAAAAGAGAAGAATCTGTGTTCGGTGGTTGCGCCTTCTCGGCAGCACGCCTGTACCATGACTGATTTTCATTGGGAGGAATGTCAGTGCTATTAGACTGTCGCTGCTGGACAACCCCAGGTCGCTTGTTTTTTGCGGCTGTAATGGGCAGCATTTTTAAATTTTTCTTTATTTCTTTATTTCATTCGGACAGTGCACATTCATGAACACAATAGTGTAAATGCACCCAATTTAGCATACATGCTCGTTTTCAGCCGTAATCCCAAGGCAGGTTTCTTAACATAAACATAACAAAAACAGTTAACATAAAACAACAAAGTAATATAACACAACACATAACATAGGACACAGACAGTCACGCAATCTTAAGCACTTTTTTCTGCATACACTTTGTTGTTTGAAGCAGTTATATATGAAAGAGGAGAGAATCGAAGTGTCCAAAGTATGGATCAGAGACATCCAGCTCAAAATGTGCACACGTCTGTGACAAGCTAAGTTTGAAATTAAACAAGTTTGTAGCTGTAGCGTCCACTGATGAAAAAAGAGATTGGTTCTCTTCTCCTGTCCCATATAAATCCGTTTCAATTCCAAGCGGTGACTCTCAATTCCAAATTCGCATCAACGCTCAGCGCCAACGCTCCTCCATCCTCATCCACATTTTCCATTTTCACAGCTCCGTTTTGTTTAGCGGAGATGGCGGCACTGTTGGACAGTCTGCACTGTTGCGGTTGAATCAATGGCTTGAGGAGCCGAGGATGAGGATGGTATGCAGGAAAAGTTGTTAAGATGACATGACTGTCCGTGTTTTGTGTTATGTATTGTGGTAAGTCATTTTGTTATTTGATGTTAACTTTTTTGTAAAGCACTTTGTTACAGTTGCAGCTGTTGTGAAAGCGCAATATAAATAAAGATGTATTGTATTGCATTGCAGGCGGCCCAGTGGTCCAGTGGTTAGCGCGTCGACCTCACAGTGCAGAGGTTCAATCCCAGCTCTGGCCTCCCTGTGTGGAGTTTGCATGTTCTCCCTGGGCCTGCGTGGGTTTTCTCCGGGTACTCCGGTTTCCTCCCACATTTCAAATACATGCATGGCAGGCTGATTGAACACTCCAAATTGTCCCTAGGTGTGAGTGTGAGCGTGGATGTTTGTTTGTCTCTGTGTGCCCTGCAATTGGCTGGCAACCGGTTCAGGGTGTCCCCCGCCTACTGCCCGAAGACAGCTGGGTTAGGCTCCAGCACCCCCCGCGACCCTTGTGAGGATAAGCGGATCGGAAAATGAATGAACGAATGAATGAATGTATTGCATTGTATTATATCTATCAAACACAGACACCACATGTACCGTATTTTCTGAACACTTTATTCTTGCAATTTTTTGTTTGCCTTCAAATATGTTTGCAATGTATTAAAAAAAATGTGTTTCAATATATTTAAGTATCTCACAGTCTGTTCAAATGGAGTCGGATTTTGTCTTCACAGTCTGTTCAAATGGAGTCGGATTTTGTCTCCACATCTTACCCGACACCTCCTTGATGAGGCTGCACCTCATCAAAGACGTCAGATTGACGGAGACTTTGAGAGTGAAACGGCTCTTAAAAAAGAAATAAAGTTGAAGTGGGCCCCCTGGTGCCACTTTTCCTTTCTATGAGGTGAATGATGACTATCAGAGTAACTCTTGCTTCCTACAGGAGTGTGGAGCCACCTGGCAAAGGCTGATGACCACCTGGGAGAGCTTTGCACTGATTCAAAGGCGTCAACTTGTGTGATCGCATGTCTCAGGTCAGTAGTTTCCCGAACACAAATCACCACACGCACGCACACACACACACACGCATACACACTCAGTATATGTTTGGTGGCATCCTTTGAAGCTCTCCCGGCGCTCTCCATGTACTGTGGCGCGGCGATTAGCATATGCCGCGTCGCCCGAGGACGTCCATTTAATACTTGTTGCAAACATTTGAGGAATTTCAAGCAACCATCGCCGCAAAGAAATCCAAATGTATCACAGTGATTTCAGCTCCCAACTTGTTTGATGGCATCCTAAGAATGGCAGTCAAGCTTTTGTTTGGACTTTTCAAATGAGGAAAATGTATTTTTTTTTCCTCTTGTAAAACGCCAATGGATGACGGAATCTCTCTTCATGTCTGTCAGGCATCAGGCGTATTTTGCTTCATTTGAGTCATATTTTACAAGGGTTAACTTGTTTTCACGCTTGTATGACAGCCAGGAGTGTTTTAAACGCCGCCCGTCGACTTATAGCTATTAAACGGTGACAGTTTGACCCTGGGACTGACTAATTCCCCTTACATTATTTCCTATGGGAAGAAAAAAAAAGTGTCAGGCTGCAGACAGGTGGAAACATGCAGCGCACACAGTCGGGCTCAGGGAGGCCTGGCGGGTCCTCAAAAGCTCTAGCAAGTGTGTGCCGATCAATATAGCTCGTACGTGTGACATTTCAACATGGCTTGATGTGTGCTGGGCCCGGGAAACGGGTTCAGGCTTGATTTTGGGAGCTGACTCACCCCCCGCCCCCTTTTCTTTTCAAAACGCACATGGATTAAATATCGTAAAAACAGGCAGGATTGTGGCCAACTTCTATAATAAATAAATAAAAATGCCATGAGTCTTTTATTTCCCAAAGTGTCACGAGAGTATGAAAACAAACCTGCATTGCAGTTATAATATACAATCATCGCAGTCACGCTTACATTCAATATAGTATAAAAAAATATATATAAAAGGTAAAAATATACATATTATTGCTGAGTAAAAACGAAGGCACTTGAACAGGTGGGAACAAACGATCCCTACGCGAGTGCTGGCAATCTGTTTGTAATGTCTGTGCAAAAAAAAAAAAAAAAATTCAAGTTCCCTAAGTCACAATGGCTTCGCTATTCCCATGGTGTCCTTTTCTACTTGATGTGCCCGAGCAAAGTGAAGGCACAGGAGACCTTGTAGACATGCAAAAAAAAGTGCATGAATAGCACAGGTAGGCGAGTACATTAGGCTTGAAACAAGAAGCGATTGCAAAAACGCCAACACTGAACACTTATCCTGGCAAAAAACAAAAAAAAAAACATTCCCTGACGCATCTCCCGGGCTGGCTTGGAAATTTGCTTTCTAAACAAACAAACAAACAGAAAAAAATGAAAAAAAAGGTCTTGCTGTGGTGGAAGCCAGTATCCCGTGTGTTCAGTGTGCTACGCAGCAGGCGGATTCCTCGTGCTTGTGCAGCAGCGACATCCGCGAGAAGGTTTTGGAGCAGTTCTTGCATTGGTACTTTTTCACATCCGAATGGGTCTGCAGGTGAGCCCTGAGGTTGGAGCGGTCGGCGAACGCCCGCTTGCAGTGGGGACACGAGAAGGGCTTCTCGCCTGCCAGGAAGTGACACAACAGGAGGCAAAGTTAAGACACACAGTGACACACGCATGCAAGCATCAAGCGTTGTTCGAGCAGAAGGAGAGGGAAAATAAGGCTCGTGGGCCCTTTGCAGGGCCAGGCCAGCATTTTATGTGGTCCACCATGTGCTTGCCAAAAAAAAAAAAAAAATCAAAGTGCAACTGCTTTGAAATGAAGCTCGGCTTGGAACTTCATCCAATTGCCCAACTTAAAATGTCTTCCATTTTTTGCTGAAGCTCCTCAGCAGCAGTGGGCAGGGTACACCCTGAACTGACTGTCAACCAATGGCAGGTGTTTATGACTTCAATTATGCTTATATTTTTTTCAGAAAGTCTAAGGTTGATGGGCCGTTATTAAAGGAACACGATTTAACAAATTGTTGCTTGTTATTAATTGCTTATAAACAGGTGTGTGCAACACTAGCTTTGTTGCAATGTGAGAAGGGGGTGCGCCGTTTAAAAGAAACTAGGATTATGAAAGGCAACATGATGAAACATAAAGCCTTCATTGGCTATAAGTGAGCTTTGTTTTGATTCATCACCAAATCTGTCTGAAGGTGGTTTTGAAGGAGGTGCACCCTGAAAATAAAAGTTTGGAAAATGCAGGCATGGCTAATGATGATTCTAAGACATGACCAAAAATTATGCCTTCATTGTCGACAAAAGGGTGTGTTCGTGGGAATGGTGGTGCATGGCCCCATAAGTATGAAAAAAAAAAAAATGGCTTGAAACGGTTGTGTGCAGCGGATAAGGGGTGTACCACCCCTCTTGGTATGTTGAAGGGGGTGCGTGGATGAAAACAACCCGGAGTTTGAATGAAAGCATGACTAATTATAATTCCTTCATTGGCCATAAACACGTGTGTGTTGGACAGACAATATGTCAACTCTGTCCGGACGTCAAAGGGGTGCGCCACTTAAAAACAAAAAAAAAAACAGATCTTGAAATCAAGCAAAGTAAATATAATGCCTTTAATGACGATGAATGGGTATTTATGGCAGGTCGAAGGGGTGTGGCTAGTCCGGATGTTGATGGGGGTGGACCACTTTAATTTTGAAAGGAAACAAAGTGAGGTACTACATATTGCATTCACTGGCAATAGATGTGTGTTCGAGAGGGACAAGGGGTGTGCCAACTACTGTATGTCTGGATGTTGAAGGAGGTGTGTCATTTTGACAATATTAATCCTAACATTTATTTGAATATAATGTTTTGTGCGTGGGCGCCGAATTGAGCACAACCTCTGTTGAGTTGTCAAAGCAGGTGCGCCTCTTTAGAAAACTGTCAATGCAGAATGTTTCATTCTTTTTTCTTCCTTGAATACATTATACACCCCTAAAACTGCTACACTATGACCCAGCTTTCTGAGTTTTTTATAAAACTTCCCCAATTTTTTGTTGGGTTCAAACAGTCAGTCCAATTTTTGATCCGAATCGGGTTATTTTTCACCCAGAACTTTTAACAGTGTATTATAAATGAGTAATGGCCTGGTAGTAGACATGTGTCTACACTGTTTAAATGTTAAAAGGGAGATTGTGTGGGGTGAACAGAAAAACAGCAATTCTGAATGTAAACTGAAAGATTTCTTCAAAAAAGATCTGCACTCTAAAAACAGTTATGTAAAAATAAAAAAAAATTGAACAAATTGGTTTGCTTTGTCCATATTTTTGACATATACTCGGCTGCTTTTTTGACCTGGCAGTTTTAAGAATGTAAGTTATTCTTTTGAACATATTCATATTCATTTGACGTGGCACGGTGCACGACTGGTGAGCACGTCTGCCTCACTGTGCAGAGGTGCAGAGTTCGATTCCAGCACTGGCCTTACAGTGTGGAGTTAACATGTTCTCCCCATGCTTGTGCAGGTTTTCTCCGGGTACTCTGGCTTCCTCCCACATTCCAAAAACATGCATGGTAGGTCGATTGAATGCTCAAAATTGTCAGTAGGTGTTATTGTGGGCGAATGGTTGTTCATCAATGTGTGTCCCCTGCGATTGGCTGCCAACCAGCTGAGGGTGTACCCCGCCTACTGCCCGTAGACTGCTGGGATAGGCTCCAGCACGCCCCCGACCCTCGTGAAGATAAGCGGATTAGAAAATGGATGGATGGATGGATCTTCATTTGACCCAACTTTTGGGGTTAAATGAATTTCTCCAAAAGTTTGGTTAGTCCCTTTTTGACCCAATTTGGGCTATGTTTGGCCCGACTGTTTTTAGAGTGTCTGGCTATAATCATGTATGCTGAGCACTTTCTGACTTCAGAACAACAGAACAGACCCCCAGCAGTATCCCCCAGACTCCCTCACTCCACCGCTCTCTCTTGCCCGCGGGAGGCCCGAGGCCAACTCACCGGTGTGCGTCCTGATGTGTCCTTGCAGCAGCCAAGGCCTGGAAAAGGCTTTGCCGCAGATTTTGCACACGCAAGGTAACGTGTGAGTCCTGATGTGCATCTTGAGCGCTCCCAGGCTCACGTACTCCTTCTCGCAGTATTTGCACGTGAAGCACTTGCGAGCCTGCAGCGCGTCGCAGTGCAACTGCTTATGCTTGACGAGTCCCGAGTAGGTCGAGTAGGACTTGGCGCACTGGACGCACTGGAACTTGTCCGGGTCCGGTTGTTGCGGGCCGGGCTCCTCGTCGTCGCTGCGCGGGCTTTCGGAGCCGCTGTGGTCCTTGGACGAGGACGACGAGGAGAGCGAGGAAGGGTATCCGGACAGCGGGGAGAGCGGAAGGCTGCTGGTGGTCCACATTGTGATGGGGCTGTACGCGGCCGGGCTCAGGAATTCCGGCTGGGGGATGACGGGAAGCGGGAGGCCCTTGTACAAGTGCGGCATGATGAGAACTGAAACGGAAGACGGCGAGTCAGTCAGAGAAAGTTTCCCACAAACTCGCTCTGAAAAACTTTTCCCCCCACCTGTTGGACTCTCCAGCTCGCTGTAGTTGGGCTTCTTGGCGGAGTTGATGTGCTTCTTGACCAGAAAGGAGCGCGGCATTTTGAACACAACTCTTTTTTTTTTCCTCCCACTTGTACGAAAAAAAGTGTGAATCAGACGTTAGAAAGGGCGTTTTTTTTTTTTTTTTTGAAAAGACGGAAATCCTGCTTGCTCAAGTCCAGCGGAGGAGAGTCATGTTGGAGGCAGGCGAGTGCAGTGCAGAGAGTTGCGCTAAAGAGCAGTAAATAGTCCGACTATCAGGTGCGAGGGCAGGGCCTTCAATTCTCATTTGCATACGACTCTCGCGTCGCACCAATTAAAAGGCCGGCACGTGGAAGAGGGCTTGGCGCGCCCTATAAGGGGAAGTAGGCGGGTCTAGCGAAGCGAAACAGGTGCAACTTTTTGTTGGGTGGCGTGTCAACAAAAAGTTGCTTGGTTCAGCAGAGCTCAAGCTTAGAAAATGAAAGCAAAAAGTACTTTTAAACTGTTCCGTAAAAACAAAACCATTACAAGTAAAGTATTTTAATGACAGTCGTTGTCCTGTCACTTGAGTTTTTTAGGAACTTTCACTTGTACTCGAGTAAAGGTGAAGTGATTGATCAAATGTTTGGAGTAGATTTGTTAATAGGGGTACTGAGTAAAAATTCATCTACTTTTGCTGGTAGTTTAGAAAAAAGTTAAAAAAATAGAGTACAAATAAAATGTAGTAAATGCGCATTAAAAGTGTCCAAAAAGTACAAATACTTTTTGTTCAAATGTCAAAATTTGTAATCTGTTAAAAATTATGATTACATTACTGAGCCCAAAGTTTGCTCGAATGTCTCTGAATCTCTTTTGGTAAAATATCATTGCTCTAATTCTACTTTTAAAAGTCACTGACTTTTTAAAGAAGTGCAATTACTCACCTCTACGTCTCTGAAAGTTCAGTAATGTATTAAAGTACAGGCAAACCTAAATGAACAAATAGCCTATTTTTGCATGTACTTAGAAGTAAAAGGAAAATTACTTTGAACTTTTACTCAAGTCCAAGTGTATGTGTGATACGTACTGGTGTAGCTTTGTAGACACTCAGAGCAATTGGAGTTCACTTTTGAAGTGAACCTTTATTTGACGACGAGTTTACTTGTACTGTACTTGAGTCAAAGGACAATTACTTTCATGACATTTTCTGGAAGGACAAATAAGTGAATAAAAACATACTTTAGTACATTTCATCACAGTATAATTGTACTTTATAGGAGAATTTACTTCAGTACGAAGGTCTAAAACTGTTCTCAACATTTACATACTCACCTGCACTTAAGTTCATCAACATTGTAATTTTATATGAGTAGATTTTTCGAACATTTAGTCAAATTTTACTACAACTGTAAAAAATAAAGTATACTCAAGTAAAGACCAATTACCCTAAGAATTGACTTAAGTAGATTTGTAGACACTTTTGACACATCCATCCACCCATCCATCCATTTTCTGATCCGCTTTATCCTTGAGGGTCGCGGGGCTTGCCTGAGTTTATCCCTGGGGTCTTCGGGCAGTAGGCGAGGTACACCCTCAACTGGTCAATCGCAGGGCACACATAGACGAACAACCATCCGCGCTCACGCTCACACCCCTCGGGACAATTTAAAGTGTTCCATTAACCCACCATGCATGTTGTTTGGAATGTGGGAGGCAAGCGGAGTACCCGGAGAAAACCCACGCAGGCACGGGGAGAACATGCAAACTCCACAGAAGGCCGGAGCCGGAATCGAAACGTCTGCACTGTGAAGCCGACATGCTATCCAATTATCCACTAGGCCAACAGTCTTTTTTTTTTTGGTATTTATTTAATTTTATCGGTCATTCAGCATGCAGTGTATCGTGCAACGATTGTGAGAGTAACTGCGTACTGTTGACGTGCCAACGGCACAGTGCCACATTATACGTGCGCATCATCCACGTATTGGTCGAGTGACGGGCCCTCAGCTAATGCAGCACTTTCCCCAGCCACTAATGCAATCAGGCGTTTGCTCCTTGAAATGCAAATGTTAAAAAAAAAAAAAAAGTGCACCCACTTCCCTTTCCCTTTCAAGGTCGACAACGATAATGACTTTAGTCCCCCACCCGACTCTGCTTGCTGGAAGTGAACATTTAAGTGGAGCAAAGTTGGCAGTCGACGCCCCCTTGTGTTCAACTTGTGGGGGGCGTTTGAAGAACATCTCAGCAGTGGCCTGGTGGTGGAAGCGAGCTGGCTTGGCTGATGTGGAGAAGCCCTATGCACGGCAGATATGCAAAAGCCGTCTTATGTCGGGACAACGTTATGTTCATTGTGAGCCTTATCGCTTATCTTTCCGACGTAATTGCACAATTCCAAGAGTTTTTGGCTCGCATGGATGACTGAGGCTTGGGAAGATTATCTATATGCCAAAACGCCAGGCTTCGATTGAAAGTAATGTTAAAAAATCAATATCAGGCATCCGTTGGCGACCGAGCGTTTTTCGGAGTAAAAAAGTGACGATGAAGATGAGGAGGCACGTCAGACCAGGAACGCTCAAAATGTTTTGACACATTCCAACAGAGGAGGCCTCGTCCTTGGCGTCCTCCGTTGCATTTCCAAAAGAGACTCCAAGTCCCACACGTTCACATAACTGGAAGCGTATTCGTGCTAACTGTCACCTTGCACAATAGAAATAATCGCAATGACTACAAAAAGTCCACAAAGTCAAAAACTGCTCACATGCACTTGAGTCACATAAATGCAATGTCCACGTTTTAGACATGATGTCATGGCTTCTCCGGATAAACGACAATAGAATAGAAAAAAAAATGTCTGGGAAAAATCCATACAGTCCCCCCAAATTCCAAAGCGCTCACGATGATGTCACCGTGAACAAAAAGAAAAGAACAGAACCGCTGAATAAATAATCCACAAGGTCAAACTCCAGTCCGCTGCATTCAAATGATAATGTAATTGCTCCCCTGTTGTGCTAACTGTTGCCTTGCACAATAGAAATAAAAACAAGGGCTGGAAAGAATCAACAAAGTAAAAAAAAAAAATCGATGGCGTTCTCAGACATATGTCCAATTTGTCACCTACTTACACTGCTGAGTTATTCCTTCCAAGTGACACCTTGCACAACAAAAATGAACCGAACGACTGGAAAAACAATCCATAGAGTTAAAAAAAAAATATCCACTGTAGACTCAGCCACTCAATGTTCGTGTCATAGCCTGTACTGATAGTAAAGACAATCACGCCTCATAAAAACGGACACCTCAAAAGATCAATAAATACATTGGCTACAAATAATCAACAAAATAAAATGACTTTTTTTGTGGATTATTTCAAGTCATCCCGTTTATTTCTCTAAAGTGAGGTGACATTCATCATGAATATCTATCAAGAGGATTTGCTTGTGCCGAACACAGCCTATTTTTGTGCTTTGTGTTTGTGATGAATAGAATGAAATCGGAATATAATGAAAGATAAATACAAAGGCAGCAAAGCCATCGAATATGAATATGCATGTGCCCGACATCAGCGCAGGCTTTTTGTTGACTTTGTGGATTATTTCAAGTCGGTGTGTTTGTTTGTAGAGTTCAAAGTGTCGGTTAACGTGCAGCGATTGCGTTAAACATAAGCATGACACAAACATTGCACGTGCACACGTGGCCAAGTGTCTGTATTATTGCTCAACGTTTTGTACGGATAGATAGATAGATAGATAGATAGATAGATAGATAGATAGATAGATGGATAGATAGATAGATAGATAGATAGACATGACGCTTTCGTCTTTCGTATGCACACACACATACACACGCACACACACACACGCACACACCTAAAGCCGCAGTGTGCGCACAAGCGGTGCGTGCGCGCGCGTGCACCGAGATCTTTGCGCGCCTTCAGTGCGCCTGTGATGCGGGACGAGCGCCAAACGTCCCCAAACAGCGCAGGATTACACAAGAAGAAAAAGGAGGGGGGCAAAAAGTGGACCCGCGCGTGTCACGCTCTTCCGATCGAGCGTGCGCATCAGCGTGGGCCAAGCCAAGCGAGTGGACGGACGGTGAGGCGCCGATGCCCGGCTTGAGTCGCCTGCTGGCGGCGCGAGCGACGCGAGGGTGGCGGCGAGCGAAGATGGCGAGCTCTCGGGAGCGCTTTTAAACCGGCGGAGATACACTAAAATCGGATGCGGTGCGCAGGTTCCTGCCCTCCCTTCTCTTCCTCCACCGCTTCCATCGTTCCATCTCTCCTGTTGTGTTCGGAGGCTGAGGCGAGTGGAGCGGCATGTGGGCGATGCTGCCACAAGGGATGCATTGTGGCGCTGGCTGAGATGCTCCGTAACACCCGTTGCATGCGTTGATTTCAAGAGGGAAAGCAGCCTCGTAGGACGTCAGCACCTGTTCGATCAGGTAAGACGGCTTGATTGCCCTTTGTGATTATTAAGTCCAAAATTAATCAATTATCTCATGTTGCCTTGATGCAGCACGAGAACGAATTCCAGTCTGCCTATAGGATGCATAATGAAGCGAATCTTGTATAGGTGTGACTTGACTTAACATCTTTTTTTTTTTGCTGTGGGTTGGGCATTGATGTGGGCTGTTTGCACCGCAAAGCAATGTTTCAGTACTCCTGCATGCACTGGAACGACTGGGGGCAGGAGGGAGGTTCAATGGAGGGGTTGATGTGGGGTCCAAAGCCGCTGAAATCTGTGATGTGTCACACAATGTATGTTGGCTCCCGGAAAAAAAGGCTCATCCTCTCCTTTGCTCTTCTGTAATCCATTTTGACGGGGTTTGCGCCTTAAGATGCCCTGCGAGACTTGCAAATCCGCGATCTCCCCCTCGTGCCCCCTTTGCGTTCTCCCCCTCCCTCAACAAACTGAGCTTGAGCACGGGGGTGGTCATAGGTCAGCAGCAGCAGTCTGATGTGGCAGAGCGTTGACCACCTTCACACCCAGCTCTGATTGTCGCCTTTTCCGAAAGCCAAAGAGCACCTTGGATAAGTAGAAAATGAGACGATCGCCCAAAAGGTGTCACATTGTGAATTCAACGCTAATTGGCCCGAGGAGCGTGTCACAAAGTTTCCCCGCCGACTGCCGTGATCAACGGCCTAGTGTGGACAAAAGAGCTCCTCCGCACTTTATCTTTTCCCGCTCACCTAATCGATAATCTCTTGTTGCCTCCGCTTCTTCGCCTGGACCCCCTGCTGGCTCGTTAAAATTCAGACTACATTAATCGCCTTAAAGATACAAGCAGGATAGGTTGTGTGGCGGCATCATGATTAGTAGCAAATGTTGGTTGCGAGACATCAATTGTGGGAGGGAGCCTCTTCCCGTTGTTGCCCACCTCAGGCGAGACCACTCGATGGAGTCAAGGCGGTCCTGTGGCACAAATGTTGTTTGCTGTGTTTGCTTTTAAATGATATGGAAAACTGAAAAAAGAAATACCGTCATTGACCTGCTTCCAATACAACATTGAGAGGAACCGAGCAAATAGTGAAAAAAAAAAGGATCAGCTCATCAGGAAGCTCTGAAGTAGCTACAATTTGAATCAGGTGTGTTGCAGCAGGGAGTGATGGAAAACAGGCAGGACATCGGCCCTTGAGGACCCACTTTGGACACCCCTCATCGAGATGCGAAAAGTTGGCAGGAAAGCATTTTTGGTCTTTTTGATAAAGGCTGTTGTTTGACTAAACGAAGCACCTCGCTCAAGATGGCGGCAAAGCATAATTTTTACATTAGACACGTCTTTGGCCTGTTCTCATTGGTGAGATTTTTTTTCAGCAAGTAATGGGGAATTGTTTACCCAAAAAGTTTCGTCAATGAGTGAAAAGGTGAATTCTTGAAATGCAAAAAAATATGGGAAAACTGTGACAGTTGACTGAATTGCAAATAGTCCGTTTCAGGGTCGAGCTGGCATAAAAAAGCCAGAATGGGAGAGGAAGTCTTGATGATTGTCTCTGGTGACCTTCGAATCTAAAACAAAATTTCCATAGAAAATAATGGGAATAAATAGCCAAATACTTCACAGCAAAACTCCACCGCCCTCAAAGCAAAACACATGCAGAAGGAATCCTTTGATGCTCACTGAACTTAGGCCTTGTGAAGAAAACTGGTTTCTTCCATCGGAAATTATGAAAATCAAATCGATTCAGTCACCACCCCCCAAAAAAAAAAAAAAAAAAAGCACGATAAAAGTAAAACCAACTAAGCTAGTTCTTTGCTACTGTCAACCGAGATCTTGTTTAAAAAGTCAAAACAAAATCAAATGCACCTGTTGTAAGAAATCCCCAAGTTAAACAAAGGAAAAACGCCGTTGTGGACACATTTCTCATTAGTCCTTCTTTGTTCATGTTTACCGGCTTTTGTGTGATCAACTGTAGGCAATGGAATTTAGCACCAACATCTTCAAATCTGATCAATTCCAGGCGAACCGGAATGTTTGTCCCATTCCACTTCTTTTCTGGGTACGCAACCCTCATTGTAACCTACACCTGAGGCAGGAGTAAACTCATCATTGCAGTGAATATTTGCATGAAAAACATTTGTAGGCCATGAATGGAAAATAATTGAGCATGTCTCCTTGTGCCGTTTGTAACTTGGAAACCTGCTTTGTGGGGATGGTCCTAAACCAAGGACTCCTTTCTAAACTTGTTGCCCACTCAGGGTTCCTGATTATGGAATAATAAAACATTTCCCATGTAGGTGTTTGATGGTCGGCTTCCACACCAAACCCAACTAGTCGCACTTTTATGGACCATTATGGACCCTCCCGAAACTGTTCCCACAAAGAAATCATCTGTCCGAAATGTTTTAGCGCGATGGATTAGGATCATTCACAAGGCTTATTTGACTCTGGAAAGAGTACAAACAGAAGACTCTGTGCCAAGTGATGATCCCCGTGGTCCACCTTGGCGTAGATTGTAGCATGAAGGGCAGACACGCGCTCTTTCAGTATGATCCAAAACAACATGAGAGCCACCACTGCGCAGTGAGCTCGAGAGCAGTTGAGAGGTGGCACTGCTGGAGATCTTCATCGCCATCTAACCTCAGCGCTCCCCCGGCGAGAGAAAAATGGAGTGGTGGGTTTCATAGCAGGTCACGGCGTGTCCAAGTGGCAAAGGCGGTGACGTATATGCGACTGTCGGTAACTCGATCAGGCAGCAGTAGTCCGGCTTAGCAGGGAGCGTCGGTTAATGAAGCAAAGGCGGCAACCCCGTTGAAGAGCACCGGCCTCATCTGCATGCGCCCGGCACGCAGCCACTGATTTTGAGGTGCGTGACAGCGATGCGGGAAGCAATTAAGGAATGAATTAAACACAGTTGCTAAAGCGGGCCACACGCAATGACTTATTCTTTTTTTTTTTTAACATCTTAAACAAAAATATGACAGGCCCAGATGATGAGGAAAAGAAATGAGGATTTATAATTGTGCATATTGTATAGGTTTAACATTTACGATTGGCGGCATCAGCGGTGTGCAAAGGGTTGGGGGCGGAGTTTCGGGTTTGGGAAATCCCTCTTAGGAGGCGCATCCAAAGTCATATTTTAATGGGCGGCAAAATGTCTTTTACATCCGATGCATGTCAAATGGAGCATAGTGCTATGAACTATATTGAAGTGAGTTGAGGAGACAAAAGGAGTGGTCCTTGTCACATCTTGGTGCCAATTAACTAAATTGGAGTGAGTTGAGGAGTTTCACTTAGCCCAGTGGTTCTTAACCTTCTTAAAGGTACCGAACCCACCCAGTTAATATACACATTCACCGAACCCTCCATTAGTGAAAAAACATCTGTGCGGAGTATGGACTGGAAACCCCAAGGTCAAAATGGGAAACACCTCCGAAGGTGGTGGAGAATGACAGAGCGAAGATCCTGTGGGACTTCCAGATCCAGACTGACAAGATGGTAATGGCGAACCAACCAGATATCGTGATCATAGATAAAGGGCAGAGGAAAGCCGTTGTAGTGGATGTAGCGGTCCCAAGTGATGGAAACATCAGAAAAAAGGAACATGAGAAACTCGAGAAATACTAAGGGCTCAGAGAGGAGCTGGAGAGAGCCTGGAAGATAAAGGTGACAGTCGTGCCTGTGGTGGTCGGAGCACTTGGGGCAGTGACCCCCAAACTAGATGAGTGGTTGCAACAGATCCCGGGAACAACATCGGACATGTCAGTCCAGAAATGTGCAGTGCTGGGAACAGCAAGGATACTGCGCAGAACCCTCAAGCTTCCTGGCCTCTGGTAGAGGACCCGAGCTGAACGGGGGGATGGACACCACCCGAAGGGTGAGACGAGGATTTTTTTTTTTTTTTATATAAATAGATAGATATATTACAAATTCAAGATATTAAAAAAAACATTTATTAAAAACAGAAAAAAGTAAATAAAATTTCAAAAGATAAGTATCCTTTTTTAAAAACTGTACAACGTACTATCACGACAGCTACACGTTGACTACTATGCAAACTAAATTTCTCACAGCACTGATTGGATAAGCAATGAATTAATGAATGAATCCTTTATTGTCATTGCACAATTGTTACAACGAGATTTTACAGGACCCTCCACCCCCTAAGTGTATCGTGAAATATATAAATACATTGCACTCCCCCTAGACATAAACACTATCACATACACATGTTTAAAAATTGAGATTCAACGTTATGGAATGGATTTTTAAAAATTGTGACTATACACTGTTCAAGGAGGGGTTAAAATAGATTGTCTTACAAAATTATATGAATTTGTATGAATCAGGCATTGACATGAGAATATGTAAACTATTCGGCACTAATTAAGATACAGTCAAAGTTGTCTTACAAAATTATATGAATCATGACAATATGTGGACTATTTCGGACCTAATTAAAGATACAGTCAGTGATATCATGAGGTATACAGTAAATTGCACTCCCATAGGCCTACACATTCACATACATACGATTTAAGAATTGACATTCAACAGCCTGACTGCCCAGGAATAGAAAGTGTTTCTGTGTCTGTTGATCCGGCTTCTCATGACTCTATATTTCCTGCCCGAGGGCAGAAGGTTGAAGAGGCACCTGCCAGGGTGGGATGGATCAGTCAAGATTTTCTTTGCCCTTTGTAGCCCCCTTGAGTTCGCGATGTCATCGATGTAATGTGATCATCTGCAGTCAGTGATCGCCAAGCGGGCGCATCATAACTAATTGACATGTTGAGTCGCGTGTGTCTTACCGTCCATGGCAGAGGCTCCGTTGAACCCCTGAGCCCGATTCACCGAACCCCTGGGGTTCGATCGAACCCAGGTTAAGAACCACTGATTTAGACAAAACAAGTGCTGCATCTTGGTGGCAAGCAACAATATTGAAGTGATATGAGGAGCTTCACTGAGACAAAATAAGCGCTACCTGTGGCATCTTAGTGCCAATG